TCTGAATTAGATGTAATTAACATTTTTTTCAGAATGAACAATATTATAGGTAGGGGTGTCAAAGTATGACATAACAAGTTAACACGAGATGAACACGATACGAAATTAAAGAGTTTGGATCTTCGTTAAACCACACATTTTATAAATGATTAAATTTGATATGACATGAATAATAAATAAATTAAATATAAATAAAATTAATCATAAAAAATACATGACACATACTTATTTAAAGACCCACGGTAGATAATGCATATACGACATAAATTAAAAAATAAATCAAATATAAATAAAACACGTCAGCCATTTAATCTCGACACAATTGACAGTGGATGACAATCCCTCTAACCAACAAGTCGCGCGCGCGCGCAGTCCAGACTTCCCATGCTCTAAACCCTAAAAAAAAAAAATTCCACATTCATCTTCTTCTTTCGTTTCCAGATTAAGGCATTGAAGACCTTCTCAATTTCAGGATGATCAAACGTTAACTCTCTCTTTTGTGCATATATGCGTGTATGTATGTGTGCGTAATTGACAAGGCATGTCTGTTTATACAATGTGAATGTATGTATTGAAAATTTGCAGGTGGTGGAGTCATGGAGGTGGTTTTAGTGGCAAAAGATGTGAGTGAGTGGATTTACAGAGGAGAAGGAGCTGTTAATCTTGTTCTTGCTTAAATTGGATCGGCATCTGAATTTTTTTTGTCCATTCGGTGATTATTTTTTTTTACTATTTCTGATGAATTAGTTGCGTTTGTGGACACAAGTTGAGTTTGAGCTAATGAAATACTACCATATGAAGACTGTAGAGAGTAACTATGTCTGTTTGACGAGAAATAGTGGGAAAAGAAGGAAAATCAATAAGCTTGGTAGTGAAATGTATTGGTTCTTCAGAACTTAACAGAAGATAGAGACAATTTACTGTTTTTGGCTTTTATAGTTCATTGATTTCGCAGCAACCAAATGGTAAATTGACACCAGCAGACCAGCTTCTATTAGTTTCTTTGGTCTGCCAAGATCAAGAATATCTAGAACCATAATTTGTTGATTGGTTGTGAGCAGTAATATGATCGTATTGTTATTGGCTATTCCTTATCGTGAAGAGGAGAATTAGAAGGAGAATAAAATAAAGAAAAAAAATCGAAATCCTTGTATGTAACTGACTACTGATTCCACAGGTCCATTTGACTCCAATTGTGAATTGTTTATGGCATGAATTTCCTGTCAAAAACTAGATTAGTATCACCAACCAATTTTATTTCTCATTGGAATCATTAGTAATGTCTTATAAATCAGATCAAATGTACAAGAAGAGACACTGAATATGGTAATAAAAAGTTACTGAATTGGGCCTTACTCCCATTTTCCAATGCTTATCTCTTCCTTCTATGCTCTACAGGTGGACAAGATATTGCGTATTCACAGAAGTTCCCAGGAATGGATCACGTCGTGAAAATTGTCCTTTAGCTTTATCCATGCATGTGTCTTCCATGGAAAGAAGCTGAATAGCTTGCATCACTCCTGCACAGGAGATTGCACAACAACTGTATCTGCAGCACACAATGAGCCCATTATTGGGTCGGAACATGTTGATGCTGGGGTATGTGTTGTGGCTTTGTTGCTTCTGCAGGATCCAGATTGCATTTGCATCAAACCACCACTTCAGTCGGTTCTTCTTCCCTGTTTTACATATTATTGTTGGTTTTGCTGAGTGTTGAGGAAAAGCATAATCTAGCAATTTTCCCTACAGCTTGCTTTGATGTACTGCTTAGTTCTTTTGGAGCTGGCAAGGACTTGTTTTTCATGTGTTGATGTCTTGTATCTATGTTTGAAGCTGATATTTTCTGTGGCGTACCCTTTTACATCCTGGGCTGCACGATTCATAAACTGTATCTATTTCTAGGGTTCGCCACTTATGGGGCATGCATGCGTCCTTTGGCCTTCTCTATGACCCATTCAGGGGAATAATACTGGAAATGTTGTGGACATTTTCTTAAAAATTAGGAGATGGCAAATAGATTGAATATGATAAGGCATTACATAAAATTGCAGTAGCATTTTTGTTCCTTTATGACATCATACTTGGGATCATCATGATAATGATGGGATGACTGAGGCCTCTGACCATGTTTGAACTATACTTGGCAGATTCACATACTTGTATCACAGGAGTTTCTGGAGGCAGTTGAAAACAGTGTTCTTTGTCAGCGTCCTTCTTGGTGAGTTGATGCAGCCAAGGTCAATCCCCTATGTGATTCTGCTCTTCGGATATCTGATCATTCAGTTTTTCCTCATTGGAATGCTTTGGAAAAATATCTTTCGGCTTGCACCATCCCTGTGATTGCTTAAGTTTATAATGTGTAATTATTACTTAGAGAACAAGAATCTAATTTTTATTTTTTGTTTTAGGTCATTGGACGTTTTCTTTTGTTTTTATTGTTCTTTTGGTGGTTGGGGAGGGCTGGCTGGTGCCAAACGCTAATGTCCTAAGTGTGCAGTGGCTAATGCAAGTCCTGTTTGGTTACTCTATAGCTTTTGATCCTGGAGATTGTTCTTTGGAAGTGAAGTTTTCTTTTTATTTTTATACTAAAAACTGTCTAATGTTTAAAAGAATACTAGCATTTTGAAATTATTAAAAAGAAGTGTCCACTTGACATTGGACTACAAGAATATGTCATCCCTCTAACAAATTGAGAAAAGAAGGTGGTTATGACAGAACTTTATAAAAACATTTAAGAGAGACCAGACATGGAGAGAATTTGGGCTGATAGGCCCCTTTGGTCCATAGTTTGGTGTGCCACTTGGTTGCTCATTAAGCATTAGAAGGACACAAAACTGGAGATTTAACAAAAGAGGATAAGTTTGCTGTTCGCACACAAAACGTGCTCATCATAGAGTGATTGAAAACTCTCAGTTCTGTATACATACATGCAGTTTTATTTACAGTGGAATGATGATATACTTTTTAATTCTTCAGATATTCAAACAGAGGACTCCTGCATATCTGTTGAGATGAAGGTGCTTGCAGCTTGACCAACTTTTTTGTTTTATTTCTTCTCTTCCAAGAATTGTAAGTGTTCTCTCCTCGGAGTTGTGAGTTTTCCTTAAGAATCTTACCCTTTACACCTTTCTTCTTTTGTTTCCATTTTTGTTGCTAAAAGGCAGCCCAAATGTAGATTTCTTCCACAGCCGTTTTAAAATGCACAAAGCCCTGAAATTTCATCAAGGAGAGGCAACAAATTTTCCATACACTTTTATACTTCCAAGAAATACCTGTATTGGGATGGTTTCTTCGTGACTTGGCATTCCTGGACGAACATAGATACATAGTTTTGGTCCGAGGATAGTCCATTGTTGATTATTTCCCTTGATATACCTTTGTTAATCAGGCTGATCAGTTTAAGATTCATTTTGTTCTCACTCTGGATTTTTTCTCAAATGCATACCGTATTTTATCCCAGACCTCAGAAAGAAGCATCGATGACCGACTGGATATGTTCTCCAGATCTAAGGACAGAATGCGTAAAGCAATCAAGGCCCTTTTTGTACCCCTCAGAACAATTTCTGGATATTCTTGAATGGTTCCCACGTATTTGGGGGCTTGGGTAGTGTCGTAGACAGTACTAGTTGTATGGTTAGTAAATAATTTGAAGACTTGAACTGCGTCATTCTGGCTGAAGAGGGAATGCGTACACTGAATTTTCTGGAGCTTGCTGCCTGAGGCTGTTCTTAGATCAGGAATACTCAATCGGCTTCCTGAAGTCCAAAAGCTTGATACTGTTGACATAGAAGGGGCTGTTCTTGCAAATTATGACATTATTTCACAGCTTTGTGTTGTATATGGAGATTTAGGTGAAGACAAACTGTATGGGAGATATAACTCTTTGCATTCAATGCCATTGGATGAAAGTTTGAAGATTGTGAGGACGTATTTAATAACTGCAACTGCAAAGGACTTGAGTATGATGTTTAGTTTTTGACCCAGGGAAACTGGGGTTCTGGAGTCTCCTTATGATGATGTTTTCCTGGAATCAACCAGCCAAAGTTTTGATTACAAGGTATGCAGGCCTTCTGCGTCTCTCATTAGATTCTTATTTGTGTAGCTAATATCATAAAATGCGAGTTGTTTGGGCATCAGAAGGGAATGAATTTGTTCCATATCTTTACCACATTGCTGGAAGGCATGGGGTTGTTTTCTTAATGAAATCATTAAAGATTTGGCATTGTCAGTTCTCTATTAATTTGCCCTTGCATATTTTCTTTGGATTTTGTAATTTGCACTTTCTTCTTGTAGACAATTACTTCTTTTAGCACACAGAAATTATGCAGAAAGTTTTCAAGCACTCTTTAAACTTTATGGAATATTTCACTAGCCATGGCTGACAATTTACCTAGATTGGTTTTCTCCTTTGGCTACTTCCACGGTCCCTTCCATTTAATTGTGCTAGACACATTAAAAGATTTTGTCAGAAGTTGCTAAGGGCGAAATCTATTAACAAAATTACTTACGATTTGGATTTCTGCATTGTTTTCTTCTTTCTTTTTCATGGCTTATTGAAGTTGCAATTATTAGTCATCTGGATATGAAACCATTGAAGAAGATGGAACACTGTTATGAGTTGGATAAGAAAATTGTCAGTCACTATTCTCAGATGGTGAAAACAAAGTATAAACTGGGCAACACTGTACGCATTGAGGATAGTTCATGTTTAAATCAATCCAATATCATAGAATATGCTCCTCTGAGTAGAATCTGGTAAATGAGGGTAGTATGAATATAATTATAATAGTGCTGCTTCTTATTAGAAGATAGTTAATTCCTTTTGTCCTTACTTCCATCGAAGTCTACTTCTAACACCAACTCCTGCATCTCAGTATCTTCAGCATTGATCAATCCTTTCAAATGTAGCTAGATGTTTAAATCTCAAATGTAGAAGAGGAGGCAGGTGCTTTTTCCTACACACACACACACGTGCGGTAAAATGCGATTCTGGTGCACTCATGTTTCGCCTTCCTGCCTGTTCTTCCTATTGTTTTCCTTCTAATTTTCGTTTTCTATTATTAGCAAGCATTCTCATTTTCATACTTCTCAAGGTCAATACCATTCACTCACACACGGGTTTATATTTTCTAATCAGTGGTTTGTCTTTCTGCTGTAGTAATGGGAGCTTACTAGGAGGCATATTGAGAAAGAGACAGCTTAGACTTTTCCTCACTACAAGGAAAGCGATGTACCAACTACTTCAGTGCCTTTCCATCCCAAGCCCACATGATATATTTATTCATACAGCTGGATGTGGATCTAAGCCTAGTGCTAGGCATCTGTGTGTGGCACTAAATGTCAAGAAGATTGATTTAACTTTGGTTCAATGAAGTTAAGCTTTTAGCAAGAAACTCATTGACAAATCTAGTGTTTAACTTTTCTAACTCTGAATAAATTTGATCAGTGATTATTCTGATCAGTTTCAAATTTAAGTATACATTTGGGTTGTGTAGCATCACTCATACTGAAAAATACTACACAACCTAAATGGAACCCAAATGCATATCATCATTTGGAGGAGTGTTGGATTAGTGGGTCCCGCTGAAAAAGTTGATGGGACCCACTCATTTAAGGGATGATATGCATTTGAGTTGCAACTTTTTTGGGTTTCATTTGGGTTGTGTAGCATTACTCATACTTTTATCCTTCAACCTTGAAGGTAAGCTTTGAAAGGCTAACTGTTTGTAGTGTAACATACCGGAAAGAAACTTACTGTATATCCATAGGTATGCATGCTTAAGTGGCAAGATGGAGTGCGGTCATTTTGAGTTGGACCTTATAAGTGTGACATGGGACACAGATTGCAGTGTCTGGGCGATATTGGACTACTGAATTTCAATGGTTGGGAGCACCTTTATTGGCTTATATGTTCTTGTGCAGTTGTACATAAATATGCCCTTTTATGCCGGCATGATATTGTGACAAAATTTGAAATGAGTTGATTGTGCCTTTGATGGCATTGAAACAACATAATCTATTTTGCTTGGTATGAGTATGAAATTTTTGTGATTTGACTTTCATAGAGTGTGTTGTCCTTAGGTATGATTTGGCTGGTCCATTATTTCTCAGGCATGCATCATGGTGTTCCTGAACATTATTTTCCAATTTGTGGCCTAAAATATTTGAATTGCACCTATTTTGATGCATATGATACTCAACCAGCGATAATATGATAGCAAATGTCATAAAATCCACTTCTCATTTCTGTCGTTTTGGTTCGGATTTGCTGGAGTTGGTTTAACTACGGAATGTTCATTTAGTTGATGAGAGCTTTAATTCCTCCTCAGATTGTTTCTTTTATGTTCTTTATATATGGAGTTTTACTTATTTCTCGTAGCCCTCAAAATAGTTCAGCGCGTTCTTTCAACTACACTGTAGGGCATATGCAGAAAAATTATTGCTGGCAGTCTTCACAAAACATTGAATCAGAACAGTGGATGCTTGAAGGAGTTCATGGATCAGTAGCAGCAATCAATATATGAGGTTCTTTGCACCAAGGTAACTGATGGTGCTTGAATCAGTGAGGTATGATGCTCGCTGCTATCTCTTGGAAGCATCACCGCTGCAACATATGAGCTCATGCTCCCGGCTTTCAAAGGTCTCTCTCTCCCTCTCTCTCTCTCACACACACACACACAGAAACATGCGCGCGCGTCCACATACACATGTTTAGACTGTTAAAGTGGAGATTTAAACGAAATTGTAATGTGGCAGAAGTGGGGTTTGAGTGGGACCATGTAGCTGACTGTCCTTTGCACTAAAGGTGAACCTGCAATTTATAAGGCTTTCTTTCAGTTATCCATGACACATTAGCCTGGACAAAATCTTATATCAACTTGGTTATTACCTTTTACTGCTAACATTCTATGTCAGAGCCACTTCAGATTGTCTGTACATGATCAATGGTTCAGATGACCAAAGGTTCCACCAGACAGACAGTTTTCACTTTAGCTATCAGAACATGGATATACCATCCCAGATCTGTAGCTGCCACATCAAATCTGGTGTATTGTAATTAGAGCATAGGCATGCATTATGTTAAAAGATAATTTTTGTTACTTAGAATGGTTATAGTGTGTTGTCTCTGCTGCCAAGGTGTATTATTTCTGTTGACAATTCAGATTTCTTTGAAGCATGTGAGAGAAAGTACGGATTTTTCACATTGAGCAAATAAAATATAACTGTCCATCTTATATGAATCAGTGTGCCAAATTTCTATTTGCTATTGCAATGTTCTAACCGTGTTTTGGACAGTGGCTGGGTGTGCGGTGTGAAGGAGAGAGTACAAATTCCACCATAAATGCAAAGGGGAGGTAATAGGTAATCCAATAAAGAACCTTCTGACTAGCATTTACTTCTGGTCTCCAACTAACACTGTCACTTTGTCAGTCCATTTAGTATTCTACCAGACCTCTTGTAAAACATCTACCATCAATAAAAAACACTGGTAAGGATATCAAAGTATTTTCCTATAACATAATCAGACAATCCATTGCAAGAGAGAGAGAAAGAGAGAGAGCCATTTGTATATAGCATATGTGAAAGAAATCCATGACATACAGAGCAGCTTCCTCTATCTATTTTCTTAAAATTTAATATATTTTGCTCTCAGCACCATGTCGTCAAAGGTTCTGTCAACTACTTGAATTTCAATACTTGTATAGCTTTCTAGTTTTACAGTTTAGTTGTTTTTTTTTTTTTTTAAATTATGAATATAGCTAATAACTTCTCATGCTTCTGCCATCACTGACACTCAGCTCATTTGGTGTTTAGTTTTGTGTGTGTTTTTTTCCTTTAATTAAGAATATAGCTAATAGCCTGTCATACTTCTGCTATCACTGACACTTTGCAGTCCTTGTTCAGCTTATTGATATGGCATACAATGTTTCTGAGGTCAGAAAAAAGTAGTAAAGAAAGTGGCTCTCCTTTTTGTTGCAGAAAACGATAGTGTCAGTGGATCTACTCTGTTCAAAGTGCAGGAAAAAGGTGATGAAGTTAATTTCATCAGTAGAAGGGATAAATTCCATCGTCCTCGACCCATCAAAAAACACAGTGACAGTAACTGGTGAAGCTGATCCAGTAAGAATCATCAAGAAAGTGAGGAAGTTCAGCAGGTCTGCACAAATAATTAGTGTAGGTCCTCCCAAGGACGAAAAGAAGGATGAGAAGAAGAATGACACAGCCATGCTTTCTCTTCCAAGAACGTGCCAGAAATGCGATGTTTGGTACGTGGTTAGCGACGATTATTTCCCCCAGTGCAACATTCTATGATTATTGAAGAGACCATGTTTCTTGTATGTTCACTAGAAGCTGTATCGATTTGCTTTCAGTTTGATTTGTTGAATTCCATATTGGAAATAAGTATTTGTCAAAGATTTTCGCTTGGAATGCAATAACAGTCTCTCCTCCAGAATCTTGGCAAATTGTTAGCTTGAATTGTTGCTCTCTCTTTCCTTTGTGTTCTTGGGACCAAAAGCTCGTTTTGAAAAACTTATTTTTTTTTGTTCCTAATTTGACTGTTTACTATGAGTTCAACATAGTTGTTGTATGTTTATCTAATCTAATAAATATACGTAGAACGATAAAACTTTTTTCGAAGTTTTAAAAATTTAGATATTATAAATAATTTATTCTTTTCTTTTTCATGTAATAAAGATACACATTTTAAAAGATAGAGTTGTGCAAATAATAGATATGTGGGTAAGTGCCAACTTAGTTAAGATGTGTTTTTTCTATTGTGATGTAGTTCCTCTCCTATTCATAAATAAAATTATTTATTATTTATTTTTTGTCTATTTTGACTCTACTTTTAATTCAAAAATATAATTTATAAAAATAGTAAGTTAAAATAAAATTATATATATATATATATATATATATATATATATATATAAAGGGTCCACCCAATGAGTGACGATAACTCTGCTTAGAAATGTTAGTGGACTAAAGCGGAGGCGAGGAGTATAGTCTTCATCCCCGTACCTGCTAAAAAAAATTTTGTCCATCCCCAGTCCACTCCCGTTAATGGGTACAATTTTCATCCACATCCCCGTCTGTGGGTAAATTTATAATCTCCGTCCCTGCTTTCTCCGTACCCGCCTAAGCCCAAGCCCAAGTAACATAATCCAAAATTCAAAATAAATCTAATATTTTAAATAATCCAACAACATTTTAAATAATCTAACACAACATAATGTAGATTACAAATTGTAAAAGCTAAAACAATATAACATTCTATTTAAAGTGTCATTGGACCACAAAAAGAAAAAAGAAACTATTAAAGAGAAAAGAAGAAAATAAAAATAAAATTGAACTAAGAAAACGATAGGACTATATTTGAAATTTCTTAGAAGAATTTTTGTTATTACAATTCATATTACAACTATAAAGTGTTAAAAGATGAAAACTTAAAATTTCGTTAATTCAATAATTATTTTCATTTCTTTGTTCACTCTAGCAGAGAAACTCATCAATCTCCATTTACAATATTTTTACCTACGATGAAATGCAAAACTATATGATTACAAACTAACAATGTCACTTGTTAGTTTGATTATCATATTTCTAAATTGGTAGTTATAGCAACTATGTTTAGTTAGGGTTTGAGAGTATTCTTATGTATATATATATCTTTAACGAGTAGCGGGAGTGGGGAGGGGTAGGGGTAAGTTCATCCCCGTACGGGTTTATACAGGTATTTTCGTATACATTCACCGTCCAATACGTATAATCTATCCCTGGTCCAAACGAGGTAAATTTGGACGAATACCTATTTTTTTCCGGTCCACTGTCATCCCTATCTCTACTCTAAGTCTGGTCCGATAACTTGTCCGGGGAAGGACTTGGACCTACCATAAACCCGACCCAAAAGATTTTGCAGGCCTAGTCTAACCCGGGCCATGAACACCACTGGTTCACTACCCAACGATGGGTATAAATAGCATTCCTCAGTTATAAAATATTAAGAAGAAAACATTCGGGAAGAAACAAGAATATGACAACATTGTTTTCATGCGAAGCCTTGCCCTCCGCCAAAACTGTTCTATCAGTGGTGGCTTCTCTCACCGCCTCGGCCGTTCTCTTCCGAACAATCGCCGACGACCTCATACCTGATTTCATCCATGGCTACTTTTCCTCACTCCTCCGAATGCTTTCCAACCGCTACTTCTCTCAACTCACTGTCGTCATCGAAGAGTTCGAAGGCCTCACTTCAAACCACATGTTCGAAGCGGCCAACATCTACTTGGGCACCAAGCTATCGCCTTCCACCGCCAGAATCAAAGTAAACAAGCCCGAAAAAGGCGAAGAACTAACAGTCACCGTTGATAAAAACCAAGAAATATCAGATTTCTACGGAGGAGTGAAGTGAAGTTTCAGTGGGTTTTACAATCCGCAACCATCAAGCAGTCAGGGAAAGGCAATGTAATTTCAAATTCGAGATCGGAGCTTCGATTCTTTGAACTGAGTTTTCACAAGAAGCATACAGGAATGGCGTTGAAAACCTACCTGCCATATGTTCTACAAGAAGCCAAGGCGAAAAAAGGAAGAAACAAAGGCGGTGAGGCTACACACAGTTGATTATAACGGCACCGACTATTGGAGTTCGGTGATTCTAAACCATCCGGCGACGTTAGAGACAATGGCGATGGATTCGGAGGCGAAGAGAGAGCTTATTGAGGATCTTGATATGTTCATAAATAGCAAGGACTACTATAGGAGGGTTGGGAGGGCTTGGAAAAGAGGGTATTTGTTTTATGGGCCACCTGGTACTGGGAAGTCGAGCTTGGTTGCAGCCATGGCGAACTATCTTAAGTTTGATGCGTATGACTTGGATTTACGGGAGGTTTAGTGTAACTCCGATTTGAAGAGGTTGTTGACTGGGTTGAAGAATCGGCCGATTCTTGTGATTGAGGACATTGATTGCAACGTTGGGGTGCAGAATCGGGAATTTGAGAGTGAAGCACGAACAGCTGAGGAAGACAAGGTGTATTTTTTAGTTCAGTCTTTCTGTTTCTGTTTTCGGATATAAAAAACAGAAAGAAATTCTTTGTACAACATAATTTTGTATACAGTTTTTCAACAACCGGGAATAGAAAGTTTCAAAACACTAACAACACGTTTTCGTCATTTTTTAAGACAAATTTAGAAAAATTGAAAACACCGGATGTAATCTACATTGACTTTAGATTGAACTTGGAAGACACGGCCATACATAAGATAGAAATATCACACTTGAACATGATGGACAATTAGCTAGTGCAGCAGGAGGTGCTGTAGCTAAACTATTACATTAAAATGATCTTCTGGGGACGTATGTTTGATATCAAAAAACTTTATAGTCCCAATTTTATTTAGATTGACCTCTCGACCACTGTTCCACACAAGCACCCTACTTGTTATTGCACCTTCACAGTTTCATTAGATCTAGCCATGACAAATTTGACCCGTATTGGCTGCTGACTCCTACCACAGATTACTTTGTCAGGGCTACTAAACTTCATCGATGGGTTGTGGTCAAGCTGTGGAGATGAGCGAATCATAGTGTTCACGAGCAACCACAAGGATCCATTATTGTTGCGACCAGGACGCACGGACGTGCACCTAGAGATGTCCTACTGCAGTTTTAGTGGTTTCAGGACACTTGCGTCTAATTATCTAAAGATCGAGGACCACAAACTGTACGGAGTGATCGAAGAGCTGCTGGGAAATGTACAGGCAACGCCTGCTGACGTTGCAGGAGAGCTGGTGAAGAGTGACAATGCTGATATTGCACTTCAGAGCCTCATCAGACACCTCCAGAGCAAGGAAACAGAGCTTGACCAAAGCCAAACAGAATGCAGTAGGGACAACTAAGAAGTGAAGGACACTAATAGAGGGCAAACAAGACGAGTATGGTGCCAGAATCATATGGCAGTTTAGAATTCTTCAGGCTGGTATAAATCTATTGGGATAATTATTATTATTTTTGAAGAAGAAGAATTTGCTAACATATAGGCCCTGTTTGGTTTGTGTCTCAAAGAACAATATCCGAAAATTATTTTTAATATTTTTTGTGTCGAATAATTTGTTTGGTTATATGATTCTAAAAAAACAGTTCTACGGAATAAAAAACAATAAAACTTATTTGGACACTAACCTAGAAAATAATGAAAACAAAAATATAATGGTAGTGGAAGTGTGGTGGAGGTAGTGGTGTTGGTGGGAGTGTGGTGGTGGAAGGGTGGTGGTGTTGGAAGTGGTGGAAGGAGGGGTGGTGGTGGTGGAAAGATTGTTTCAAAATACATACAAAACAACTTTAAATCTACTCAATTTTCAAAAAACAATAGGCTACATAGTTTTTTTTTCCAGAAATTATTTCCAAAAATAGAAAATAATTTTTAGGATGCAAACCAAATAAGGTCATAGTTTCTTAGCTTTCCCTATCTTACCTAGTGTTATTCCAACAATAGTATCGTTGAAAGGCTTGCATGCTCTAACGACAACTGGATCCTCCTCGCCATCCGGTGGTTGATGCCGGAAGCCAAGAGGCGCAAGAGTGATAGACGGATAATTGTCATCTATGGAAATAGCCCCACCTATAAAGTCCCATCCCCTTGAATCCGATTTCTCAGGCATCAGAGATTCTATTGATGGTAGAATTGTTCACTCCTCGGTAGAGCCAAAAATAAGAGAATGAAGAAGGGGTGGGAAAGGAGGAGGCCTTTTCTTATGCTTGTCCTGCCATGCCATTCATTCCTCCATAGAGGGAATCTTCCTTGGCATTCACTGATTCCTTCCCCCATATGTGGTACCACAAGTATCCATTAATCTACTAAGTATCTCCAATTCACAGGATAGGATACGAATGAGCCGTAGAGCCTACTATCCCCACCATCAGGATCGCTAGAGGCTTATCTGATTCATCAATCCCTGCTACTTCAATGGATGGATCGAGGCAGGAATGGATACTTGAATTTTAGTGAAATAGGTATTTTCGGTCTATGACAATCTTTCCAATTGCTCTAATCACTTCACTCAGTCAAGGGTCTGAGGTTTGAGGGAAATTTTAATACGCTATCGCTATCATTATCGCTAAGTTAACATTCTAGTCTTAAGCAAATTAGTCCTACCCGGTCATCTCTGTCCCTCTATCTCTTGCTTTTGCATTGAAAATGACGGGGTTTATGCGAAAAAGACATCGATTCTCTTCTCGTACTTCCTTGAGAAACCCTAAATGATACAAATTCCTCTTCATTCTGTAGTGCTCAATGAAAGAACTTCCTAAGCATACCTTTTTCGGATCCAAACTTCTTTGTTCTTTATAAGTCTTCTTCTTGCATAGAAGAACGCAACTGTGTTTCTTAGCTTTCCGTATCTTACCTGGTGTTATTCCAACAATCGTATAGTTGAAAGGCTTGCATGCTCCAACGGCAACTGGATCCTCCTAAGAGTGGTTTGGGGGTTTGATAGAGCTTAACCTGCAATAGGATTCATGGAACAAGAGAAGCAAAGGTATACTTTTTAACTCATTCACACCGATGATTATTATTTGTCTTACATAAAAATTAATACCAATGTTAAAATCAGCAACCTCATTACTAACTATGAAACAAATAAATAAATAACCGTCTATAAGACTAGTTTCAGATGTACATGGATGATGCAAATGAGCGATTCAATGTACCATAAAGTGAATCTTCCTGTATACACTTCTCATGTTTTCCAGCAACTCTTCTTTTTCTGATGCACAAACACAAATACGACACACACATCAGTCTCTGGAATGAGGTAAAAAGGAGAATAAATTTCCAAACAGTCAATAAAGAAGCATCGTTAAATTGTCAAACTTACACGAAACTTTGATACTTCTTGCTCATCTATGTATGCAAGAACTTCTTCTTGCCTTACTAAAGCTTCATGCAAAGCCTTCTCAGAGTACAAAGAGGGGGGGAAAAGGATTAGCTACTAAACAAGCAGCAGCCAAGGGAACATAGAACCTAATATAGACTGTTATTCACTTACCTTCTTTGTAGCGATCAACTCTGCTTCTAATGCTTCCATGCGACAGATAGCTGCATTGAGCAGTTCCTCTTTCTCATTAGGCATTTTGAATGACTTTTCCTGTAAAATGTCTACCTTGCCCTCGAGCTCACCCAGCTTTTGCAGAACAGATGAGTGGAAGTCTGCCTCAGTGAAACCTGGAGTTGGAGAATGGGGATAGAATTCCTCTTTAATGACGAGTTTAACTGCTAGGCCGGAAAGTTTTGAGGCTGTAACAGACACTAAGTCCACAAGTTTCTTGGTCCACAAGTATCCTAAACTGATGAGAGTGAAAAGAGCAATGAAAAAGGCCACAAATTGGGCCCAAAGGTGAGCATGAATTCCTTCTGTCCACATTCGTGCACTTGACAAGAAAAATGCTCCTGATCCGAAAAATACACCGAGTATCAGGTCAAGCCATACCAAGCTTGCAGAAAAAACAGCAGCTTCAATTTTGATTTAGATGAGATCAAAAGACTAAAGTCAAGATCAGATATCCCTTGCACAAATGATATGAAATGACACAAAATTCATAGAACAATGGGATAACAAACACTGCACAGAGGGATATCCATGCTTCAAAAAGAAAAAAAATTCCTCATTCATAAGAAAAATAATATAGACTAAATATCATACTATGGGCTATTTTTAACCAAGTAGTGAGCATGAATAAGATGCTCCATATTTAGCTCCATAAAGGTGAAAAAATTGCTGACCTTTTGTAGCATTGGGCTTCTGGTGGGAGACTTGTTCCTTCCATCCTGCATCCAGAGCCTTGTCTCCCATGGGCATGTATTCCTCCCACTCAGAGAAGCCACCAGCTTTATTTTCCATTCCAATTACCTTAGCGTAACATTATCATTAAAGAATTTTAATTTCAACTTTCATGAAGGGATTGCAACTTGCTACTGTACAGGAGTCCCTTCGCTTTTAGCCATCTCAGTACCACACAACATTACCGAGGTTAATATCATTCTCTTTCAGAAAATTCCAAAGAAATCAGATAATAGTTACTTTTCAAGTTGCCCTTTGTCTTTATTAAGTAATTCTCTGGGTATCAGCCATCTAGAATTATTTTCATCAATCACGTATGAATAACTACTCCCACCATTTATATAGAGGCAATGCCTAATGCCGTGATAATATGCTCAATAACATGGGGTCGTGGATTCAAATATGATGCCAGCCACTTTGTGCAAATATTATGGAAGGTAAGGGGTGGACTGCATTATGGATTAATGGGGAGTGGTTGCATTAGTGCATGTATAACTGACTACAAATGTGTACAACTTTTGATAACGCCGGTCAACCATAATCTACATCATGCAGAAAATTTTTGAAATAAATATCCTAATTTTTTTTAAGCATCCAAACCACATATATCACAAAAACTGGGTCCTGAAAAACGATGTTCAAGAATGATACAACAGTAGCTTTGTTGATGTATACTTGCTATGCTGCCGCATACAAATTCTTGGAATGCTTTGTAATATGGAGGGGAAAAAAAAAGCACAGGTCTTAAACCTGAGAATGCATGCTAGTAGAAAATTTGACCCGGAGTACAAAAAATGATTTCCAAAAGTTGTATTAGGACTCAAAGCATAAGTACAGCTGTACAGCCAAGGAATGCATATGGCAAAGGAAAAGACAGTGAATTTGACACTTGACAGAGGCAAAAACCTTCAAAAGAGTTGAATTGTGAAGTGACTGGCCATCTTATTGTGTGACAAATCGCGCCTAATGTTCAACAGAAAGTGACATTAAAAGTAGGACAAATACTCTTGTCAAAGAAACCAGCAAATTCACCACCACAGAGTTTGCACAGACAAATCACATCCATAAAGCAACAGAAATTTCATTAGAAATTGCATCTAAATTGTTAAGGCAACTGCAGTAACATTAAAAGATATTTATTCATCCAAATATGCTAATGGGCTCAACAATTGATGTACAAAATATAAAAAAAAAAACATAAATGACTAACCCCAACTCCACCTTGTAAAAGTTTCTAGACTCTCATTACAGACTTCCAGCCAGTCATTTCCAATGCTGTAATATCATTACATATAACAACTTACTTCTTCACGGACAGGAGCGAACCTTGGATCTGAATAGCTCTTTGTTGATATGGGAGACGTAATTTCTTCAGCTTCAGATCCTGATGCAGCGGTAGATGTGTCACTGCATTTTATCTGACTCAAAAACAATAAACCTACCTCAGAAAGCAGTTAAGATCTTCCACAAAATCTTAAAGGAAAGATAAAACACCAAAAAAGGATTTCAATGGAGCACATAAGGGTTCAACTGACCATACCACTGGAATAGACGGCTCAGTATCTGCTATTTCTCTCTCCTGAGCCTCATCACTCGTGGATATTGTTACTGTCTGCCCAGACCATTGTGCTTTACTGTTAAAAAGCATCTGCATGCATACCGTCATGTCACTTTAGATTTAACAATTACAGCTTCCAGAAAAGAACTTAAAGAACCAGTGGTAGTATAGCTGCCAGAAAAATATCATAGAAGAATTGTGCAAATGTGCTACACTAATAATGAAACGGAACAATGCTATCACCTTTAAAATATTTTGGTCTTTCCACGGCCCTTTATTGGACCTCAGACAACCCCCTTCATCAGCACAGATACAACTACCGCCTAAAAATTCTGGCAACTCACTATCAGGGGCAAAGATTTTCCAGAGGTGAAAACTGGTTAGACTGCTGGACTGGAAATAAACCTGAAACCTACAAATTGTACATAGTTACCTTGCATCAATTATTTCAAGCAATTTGCTATGATATTTGTCCCCAAGAACCTGTCAAAAATCCACAACGTAATTGATGCCACAAGTAATCCGTGTACAGTTTTGACAGCTAAGGGTGAACAGTTTAACATACGTGAATTTTGGAAGTTGTTTTATGGTCAAGAAAAGTCTTCACTACATTCCAGAGAAGCCGAAATCCTGATCCAGCATTTATGATAAACATCCGGCCTAGTGTCTGCATCAATGTTTTTTTTTTTGCAGAAAGAATGCATGTCAAGGGTAAGCTTCAAATATAGTTTTCATTTCCGAGATGCAGAAAATATTGGAGAACCAAACAAAAGTCACTTCTAATTGATAAAACATACCTCAGGATAGTTGTCATTATCAATTTTCTGAAGTGTCATAATGACTTCTCTTGCAGTTTTAGTCAGATTCTTCAAGCTCTGAACAAGGAAATATATGAAGGTCAAGCCCTATATCATCTGCTCTAAAATAATGTCAACGTAACTTTGCAAATTCAAATCAAATGAAAGGAGACATACCACTCCTTGAACATCTAAAATTGTTGTACTTGAATCTAGGTGTCTTTTAGCAGCAATAGAGCAGGCAGGAAACTTTATGGTAAGAGTCCTTTCAAACTCTTGGACATGGTATTTCACAAATCGATCCTGAGTAGTCACTTGCATAAGCTTGTTCATATCAACTTCTCCTAGTCTTTCAATGTAAATGGGCATTCCCTGCTTATCTGTAGAATGATAACCCTGGGGATAGTATTGGAGAACTTCGTCCACCTCATTAAACTCAAAATCCTGAGGAAAAGGTCCACACGATACACTTAAAAGGCAATTACAAGAGCTGGGCACAGCATGTAGTAGCTGTTCAAAATACACAAATTAAGGTCAAGAAGACAAAAAAATGTTAAGAACTATGTTTTCCTGAGCTAAAACCCATATAGAATAGGCATATTTTTTTGGGGGGGAGGGGTCAGGTTGAGCAACAATGGTGGAGCCAGATGTAGGCCTGGGGAGGCCCCTGCCCCCCATCCAAACCCAATTCTGGACCCTGTTCAGTCAGATATAATATCATGTATATTTGGCCCCCAGGAGAGAAGTTCAGGCTTCACCTGTGTATGCTACAACAAAAACGATTCACTTAAATTTCCATCTATCCAGCCAGACAATAAAAAAACCCAATGTATTATAAACCTCTTCCAAAAATACCCTGGAAGAATTACAAGTGAAGCCTGGAAAGGTCTACTCAAACCCACCTGCTGGTGCCAGGTTAAGGGAGACAATTGAGTCCAACTCATTTGCCTGGGTGGGTCAAAAACCTTTGCCCAAAACCTTAAAATAGTTAAGAAGTTTTGGCAGGATGATATACGGCATCAAAAATTGCCACCCCAAAGCCAAGGCTGGGACCAGAAAAAATGCATCAACACAATAGCAGGCAAATCACAAGTGGAAATCACCTGCATGATGGTGTCAGCACCAGTGTCTTTTCTCCATTGAAGCATGTCAGCCCACATGTGCTTTGATTTCTCTATATCAAAGTTCCTGGCTTTCAAAAATCTGCAAGGAATTNCATTTCCGAGATGCAGAAAATATTGGAGAACCAAACAAAAGTCACTTCTAATTGATAAAACATACCTCAGGATAGTTGTCATTATCAATTTTCTGAAGTGTCATAATGACTTCTCTTGCAGTTTTAGTCAGATTCTTCAAGCTCTGAACAAGGAAATATATGAAGGTCAAGCCCTATATCATCTGCTCTAAAATAATGTCAACGTAACTTTGCAAATTCAAATCAAATGAAAGGAGACATACCACTCCTTGAACATCTAAAATTGTTGTACTTGAATCTAGGTGTCTTTTAGCAGCAATAGAGCAGGCAGGAAACTTTATGGTAAGAGTCCTTTCAAACTCTTGGACATGGTATTTCACAAATCGATCCTGAGTAGTCACTTGCATAAGCTTGTTCATATCAACTTCTCCTAGTCTTTCAATGTAAATGGGCATTCCCTGCTTATCTGTAGAATGATAACCCTGGGGATAGTATTGGAGAACTTCGTCCACCTCATTAAACTCAAAATCCTGAGGAAAAGGTCCACACGATACACTTAAAAGGCAATTACAAGAGCTGGGCACAGCATGTAGTAGCTGTTCAAAATACACAAATTAAGGTCAAGAAGACAAAAAAATGTTAAGAACTATGTTTTCCTGAGCTAAAACCCATATAGAATAGGCATATTTTTTTGGGGGGGAGGGGTCAGGTTGAGCAACAATGGTGGAGCCAGATGTAGGCCTGGGGAGGCCCCTGCCCCCCATCCAAACCCAATTCTGGACCCTGTTCAGTCAGATATAATATCATGTATATTTGGCCCCCAGGAGAGAAGTTCAGGCTTCACCTGTGTATGCTACAACAAAAACGATTCACTTAAATTTCCATCTATCCAGCCAGACAATAAAAAAACCCAATGTATTATAAACCTCTTCCAAAAATACCCTGGAAGAATTACAAGTGAAGCCTGGAAAGGTCTACTCAAACCCACCTGCTGGTGCCAGGTTAAGGGAGACAATTGAGTCCAACTCATTTGCCTGGGTGGGTCAAAAACCTTTGCCCAAAACCTTAAAATAGTTAAGAAGTTTTGGCAGGATGATATACGGCATCAAAAATTGCCACCCCAAAGCCAAGGCTGGGACCAGAAAAAATGCATCAACACAATAGCAGGCAAATCACAAGTGGAAATCACCTGCATGATGGTGTCAGCACCAGTGTCTTTTCTCCATTGAAGCATGTCAGCCCACATGTGCTTTGATTTCTCTATATCAAAGTTCCTGGCTTTCAAAAATCTGCAAGGAATTAACTACCAAAATGAAACTTTACTTCCTCCTTGGCATTATTATTCTGAAAAATTCCTAAAACAACAGCAACTTAGAGTTGACTTTGTATTCGCAATCTACTAGAACAGAATATCAAACAGTAATTTGTTGTAGCTATTTCTGCATTATAGAACTTTAACCGGGATTCAGAGAAGTGATAAAAATTAGATGCCACATTTCCATATAATAGACTGCAGATACAATGAGCACTCCTATAGCAGCTACTGCTGTTCACTTGAAGGATCTAGTGGGCCTTCTACAAATTTTTACCGATGAATAAGTACCTGTTGCCAGAATCTCATTAAAGTTAAAAAAAACATGCAGTCCACTTATCAGCCCAAAGAAACTGTGCAAGCAACGAGTACTGAAGCATTTTTCACATATATTGCATGCATATATATGTATACCTATGTACGTATGTACATACATTTACATGGAAAAAAAATGACCTCAACATCATATGATAATCATCATGTCTCGTAGGAAGCAAGTCATCCTTGACAAGTGCTTGTCGAAAAGCATCAACTATCTTCAGCTCCTTAGCATCCCGAACATCCTCTATTGGAACAGAAACTTGACTGTCACTTTTCCTCCTGCTTTTCTTATTAAGTGTGTGCCCGAATTTACTAGATGCATTTATTGCTTTCTTTTTCAAAGTCCCGATTTTTGTCTTCCTTCCATCCTCCGCGATTCCAGAATCCAATTTCCATTCTTTACTTTCATTAGAACCACATGACCCCTCAAAGCCTGCACAACATAAACAAATATTCATTTGGATCTAACTCTCGAACTTTCTATGCAGATACTAGATAGTAATTGTAAAAAAAACTTTATTGAACCAATAAACAACGGCGTCATTCCCTAGAGTAGTGGAAAAGTTTGTGGTAACAATGGCAAAGTTGTAGATTCGAAGGCAGCCATTTCGTACAAGTAACGAGAAAGTTACATCTGTGACCAATCCATCGTTCTCAGCACACTTGATAGATGGAAAACAAATATTACTGTTTACTTGATGAGAGGAATGAAGTCCTGGCATGGCCTTGACTACATTTTACAATTCTCAAAATAAAAACATTCATGGGAGAATAGAAAGTTTCCTATCCTAGCTGTAAAGACCATAACCTTGACCAGAAATCTGCAAAATTGGTTAGAGGACAGAAAGCAGCAATCTAGACGGAATGAATTGAATATAGCCTAAATGTATCACTATTCGGCTATAGTAGTAACAACTGGTGGGAGCATATTACGATGGATGACCTTGATGCAACAGTCAATTGATCCCATGCCACGTACCTGATCCTAAATGAACAGTTTGTCACAAACGATATTTAATCTTGAGTCCTTGACTAATCTAGGACTTGTAATTCAAAATTTGTCCCAGAATTGGACTAGGACTTCCCATTTCATCTAGACCTGTGATAATCCATAAAGCACAATGGGTAATATAAGATTAACATAACCTTATTTTATGAATAAAAACAAAAGTCACTACCATCTCTCATGTTGGTTGCCAGCCACTTCCTCTGAAATTTTAACAAATTACTACTACTCACATTTCACACAAGTGTTGAGGTCTCTTAACAAGCCAGCTCACCAGTTAGCAGAAAATTTATTGAAAAACAATATTCCTAGCAACTGGGCCACATGCCCACATAGCGAGTTAGATTCTCTTTTATTGTCTGATTGTAGTAATTATCCTCACAGTTGAATGAATACATATAGTTACCAGTTCAAAAAAAAAAAAAAAGTGCCGTTGAGAACCAGCTATTGCCAATTTGCCATCCCTAGGGTAATACATTTTTTTGCTGCACTTCCAAAATTCACCCAAATACACGTAGCATAAGAGTATCAGATGATAATTCTATTTCATTAGAAGCAGAAAATGCTTCTCCTTCCTTCTCCATGCCTTGCATCGTGTAAAACAATTTTCAGAAAGTATTGGCCAATATGCGTCAATTCACACACACAGAGCCAAGAAATTGGCATAATTAAGAACAAACAAACGACTTTCAAGAATAATAAGAAAAAGTACCTGAAAAAAAAAACTAGAAAAGCAATTGGGGAAAATATATACTCACAAGGTCTTGCTAATCTATCCAGTGTCCCCGACATATTGAAACGCTGTTAACCAGAGTCTCAAGTCGAGGCAAAGCCCCAAAAAAACTGAACCAGCAGCTTCGGCTTCAGAATGACATCTCCATCTCTCTCAAACGTCGCATACAAACACAGAGAGAGAGAGAGAGAGGACTGAATTTGGTGGACGAGGCAAGAGAGAGTTTTCGTAACGCAGGTGTGGCATAATACATGACACTGCTGCAAGTTTCTTCTGAAGCGGTTAATTTTGCTTTGTGGGTCCTACTCAAGAGGCTGCCCACGTGGTATCGAAGTGCGACGATGATGCTTGGTGTTTGTTTGGCGGGAATTAGGAATATGCCCAAGGAACTAATATGCTTCACACGTGATGCTTTCGCCTACTAAATCACAATTATTATGTTTAGGTTAATTATATGGGAAGTCCCTAAAGTATGAAATTTATTGTATTTTGGTCTTTTAATATTTTAATTGAGTTATTTTAGTATCTAAAATATTTAATATGTTTCTATATAGTTGTTTAAGTTGACAGCGTTCAAATTTCTAACGATTTGTTATTATAAACTTGTTACGTGACACTTAAATATGAAAATAAAAAATAATTTAGATAATTCGTGACCAAATTTATATTCAAATTTTGGTTAAATAGCTATCAAAATTGCACAGTTTTGACCATGACTTATCCAAATTTTTGTTAAAAATTACTCATGTTATACATTTTTTGTCAAGAGTTACCCAAAATTTGTTTAAGAGCTATCAAAATTATTTTTTGTCTATATTTAGGTATTACGTGACAAATTTATGATAAAAAATCGTTAGCAATCTGGACGTTGTTTGCTTGAAGGATCATATAGAAACATATTCAATATTTTAGAGACCAAAATAATACAATTGAAACATTGAGGATCAAAATGAAACAAATTACATATTTTGAGAATCTCTAGTACAATTAACTTTTATATTTATCAAATTATTTATTAACTTTTATATATCAAATTAATATAGATGATTAAAATTAGTGAGTTTCACTCACTTTTATTAATGTGTTGCATGTGAATAATTTTTTGTGCATAAAAAATTAATACAAAGTTTAAAAATATATGTGTGTGTGTGTGTGTACGCCTAAATTAAATATCATCTAAACATTACCATACATAACTTTGTTACTTACTAAATCACACACCACCCCCAACCCATCACTATAAACCTCAAAAGGGTTATCAAATTTATAATTATTATCGTCCTTAGTATTATCATTGTCATTACCATCACCACCAATGTGGAACGACTTTCTATATAATTATTTGAGAGTTATTTAGGTTAAAACACTGAAACAACTAATTTTTTTTTATTAAAATACACAAATTCGATTGTTGCATGTGTTACTTTTTTTTTTTGATTTAACGGTTAAAAATGTTCGGATTAACCTACGTTCATTGAACTAATTTCCTCTCCGATTCAATTAAAAGTAGACCATCCATGTTACAACTAGGATATTCGTGAGAGTTTATCCCTCATAAATTTTTCATACTGTGATTCCAAACAATTATTAAGATTTAAATTCAAAACATTTACACTCAGATCTCATCTTTATTACCACCTCATTTACCCTTGGTGTTGCATGTGTTTGCTGTTGAGTCATGACATAAGGTTGCTGCACTCTCTTACATATATTATAAAAATTGAATCTAGGCAATGTTTAAAATTGGATGACTAATTAACAATATGAAAAAGAATTGAGGATCAAATAACTACGCCTTTTTTTTTTTTTCCAAGAGTCTTGAATGGCCAAATTAATTTACATATATTTTAACTAATTCTGTCTTCGATTCAGTGAAACCCAAACAATAAACACTACTGCTCTTTAGCATCACTTTCTCTCAAATTTTATTGATTTTTTTCTTTGGGGGAGGATGGCGAACTTGTTTGATTGTGGCCCTGTTTAATTTGGTGGGGTCCAATGCAGACACCATTGAGTGATTGACAAAGAATATGCCAATGTTAGTAGATACTAAATACTTTTGTGCTTTGATGATTAAAAATATCTTATATTCACTATCAACTCCACTTTTGGTGTTTCTCGATTCACAAGTTATAAGGGAAGCGACGTGTGTTTTTTATTGTAGTTTAGCATATTAGTATTAAGATAATTTATTCTTTATTATGTCACAATACATAATTAACATAAAATACAATAGAGACCACAACACAAAATAAAATAAACAGCTAATAACATTTCTAATAGAATCTTTATTTGCACTCAATTTTTATTTTATAGAGTCGAAAACTAAAAATCAAGGTTTAATAAACTCTCAAAAATTATTTTTTTTAAAAGAAATGGTAGAGTTTTTATTAAAAATGAGTATCTAAAAGGAGGAGATGCATTGTGACCAAGAGTATTAGTATTTCTAGGTAACTGATGTACTATTCTATTACTAGTTCGCCATATAGTACATACACTAAAATGCCAAAAACGTGAAAAGTGTTAATTCCTTATATCCTCTAAAATAGTACCCATGGGATTGAAGTCTCCCCGGTCAACGGGGATCATCTTCATAAAACTATCCATGAACTCTCTATTTAGATTAGCTAAAATATTCCTTATATCTTCTAAAATAGTACCCATGGTATTGAAGTCTCCCAGTCGACAGGGATCATCTTCATAAAACTATCCATGAACTCTCTATTTAGATTAGTTAAAACAAAGAGCCTTATTTGACTCTCTATAGTTGGATAGCCCAATTCATCTTCTTATTTTATTTTTAATGAATAAAAAGATGACATACATACATTATTCGTTAAATGTTATTGACTATTAAGACTATTTTTAAACTAGAATAGACGGCCCATTGGAGTTGTCTATTTCAATACTATTGAAGATGCTCTAAAAGACCTCTAATACTTATTAGCAACGCACACAAGAATAGATTTTGTACATATAAAATTAATTCATTTGATTTGAATTCTACTTATAATTCATTAATTAAAATAAAAATAATTATCAATATCTTAATCATATTAGCACATTACTATAATTAATAATTAGTTAGGTTAATTAGTATAAAATATACTACTAGCTATAATAATGCATATTTTTTTTAAAGGTCATATAATCAATTTAAAATTTTTATAGATATTGATATTTATACAAAGAGAATAGATAATTAGAACATATGTTAAAAGATAATTTGAAAATTTAAACACAAAGATATAATAATAATTTAAATATTTAACTATACAACGATATAATAACTTTCATAATTCTTTATAAGAATAAAATCGTGAATCAAAATTTTTTCACTTAAACTACTTTTATTAATAGTATAATATATATAGATATAGATATAGATAGATATGCTAAACTACTCTCAACACAGAGAACGTCGAATTCAACACAACTGGTCACAAGGTAACTCACACAAGTTAAAAGTTACGTAGGGATAACTGAGAGCTCCAATGCAGCCTAGGCATATACTTTGCATGGATCAACCGGAACTTTATGCATTAACAAGTGTAAATGTCTTCTTGGATGCATTACTACTCTATAGGGCTTATCCATTCCTAATCGCTCATACCTGTCGGCCCAGTCACAATGATCAGTCTTTTTGTAAACAAGATGAACCCAAAATGAGCCGAGTCAAATCACTTAATTATTTTACATATAAACGAGTCGAATTTTACAAACTCAAGTTAAACCTTTTTAAGCTTGTTTTTCTAAACAACCTTGACTCAATTATTAACCCTGCATACAAGTAACTAACTAAAACAAAAGAAAATGAAAAATCAGGAAAGCCCAGATAATTCAGTACAAAATGGTATGGTAATGAGGTTTGTGACATATGTGCATAAACCAGAAGTCTTACATTATTTCACATTAATTTTGCACCAAGTTACATCTATACATGCATATTCACAAGCTTTAGATACAATTTAGAGAGAGAGAGAGAGAGAGAGAGAGAGAGAGAGAGATGATTGATTACTGAAGATGCCGACCTTGTCAACTTTGACCAACTGTATATACAAGTTTCATCTTCCTGAAACATCAGGAAAACAACAAAATAAACTCTTCAGTTCAGTCCCAACCAAATTCGAGCATGCGAGAGAGGGGCAGTAATACAACGGAATTCAACACAAATTGAAATTGCCAACTGAGAAAACAGACCTCTTACACTTGCTATGTCCAATTCCTCTGAGAACGAAGTTGAACGAGTTTGTCCCTCCATTTTGCTGTAATGCATTATCAAAATGGTGATCCATTACACCAGCACAGGAAATGGGAGTTCGAGGTTTCATACAGCCCTCTAATAAACTAGAAAAGTAGGTGACTCATGCCGAATCATTCACAAAAAACTTGTTATTGGTAACTTCAAATCATGGAACATAATTTCACGATAGCCAGCTGGTGCCCTCTAGTGGATACTCGTAGGGTTTCAATTCTATAGCTAGCAATTAAAATGTTGGGGGTTGGGGGGGGGG